GTGTGTGTGTGTGTGTGTGTGTGTGTGTGTGCGATATGCTGGAACAACAGAAAAACAGAATCATTCACTATGACACCGTTGGATCGGAGATGATTAAGGGAAACTTAAGAAGTACCAAGGTAAACGCGAAAGCTCGCGAAAGTTTGCGAAAATTTTCTTCTTTGTTGTTCGCTCTGTCGGCGCATCCGAAACAATTTACTGTGAACTAACTGCATTAACCAGTTCCTGGATAACAGATTAAGCAGCCGGTGATTGTTCCAACTTTTCCGCAGTCCGTTGGAGAAATTCCGGGGTGTCATTCACCGACGGGAGAAATTCGCCTGGTGGGGCTGTCCTTTTAATTCGGTAACCAGAACAGAGTTAATCCAACGGGGAAAAAAGAACGTCACGTCAGAAGGGAAAACGAGATACCCCCGTTTGCGACGAGAAGAAGCGAGAGAGAAAAGTTCCTTTCCGAGTAAAACTCAGCCGACGTAATCCTTACGTTCCACCCATTGTGCGTCCCCATAAACCGCCCTCGCCCACCAAAGTTTCCGGCTCCGCGGTTTCTACATCGCTGCCCTTCGGAAACCCAAGAAGAAAAGAAAAGCTTGGCGACGACACTGAGCTTTTTTAGGACAATTCCGGTAGAGCGAATGTCTGCCAGCGAGGAAGACGAATTGCGAAGGAAAAACGCTCGTAAAAATAAAAATTGTATCTAGGACGATCTGATTAAACGTGTTCGTCAAATGTGCACCGCATCTTAATAGTAATTACTCCAGTTTTTTTCGTATCTCGGAAAAAATTCTCATCCCCATCATGTAATCAATTAATAAAATTCATTCATTTATTTAATGAGTAATACTTCCATATGTTATTGAAAGAAGATTGGATTTAAATTAATCAAGAATAATCATGGAAATATAATGAAATATAATTAATGTTGTATATTAAATATGCAAAGATTAATCAGAAAATTAAAATAAATTAGATGCATAAGATGATTCGGCAGCTATCTTGAACTTAATTTACTTTTATAAACTCGTTACGATTACTCTATCTCCGTTATTTATGAGCGAACGATGAGAAAGAATTTCGATAGGACAAGGTTAAAATTCAATGTCCGTAAACACGAAGGGGAGTCACACAAGAGAGAAATTCAGATATGCCGATTGTCGTTTGTGTGCCGTCAAACGAAAGCGTGTTCGACGAGACGAGCGCGAGCTTCACCGGCGTGAGGGATCGCGTTCGTGCAAAATAATTGCCAAATTCGCGCGTTCTCGCAGAGAACACAGAGGCATCTCGCACCTGCGGCGCGATTTAAATGGCGTGTAGCTTTGCGATTTTAATTACGGCGCGATTCGTTCGCGCGGTCGCGCCGTTATTCGCGTCGCGGAATACAAATCATCGCTCGTTGCGTGCCTCCGGTAATTGCTTGGTTATATATCGTCGATATCACTCGATGGGCAACGTTGCGGTTCGCAAAATTTTTTTTCCCGACCATTTTACCGCTCGAAAACAATTTTATTTCAATTTATCGTATAATAACAACAACTTAATTTATTACACATT